ATAATAAATTAAATAGGGAAGGGGGGGAGGAGGAGAAGGAGGGAGGGAGACGTTAAATTAATTGATTTTTTCTGTTTTTTTTTTACATTTTTTTCCTTTTTTTCTTTTTTGTTTGTTTGTTGTTGTTGTTGTTGTTAATGTAATATCTCATAACAACTAATGAAAATAAAAGAAAATAAAAACAAAATAGTTAATTAAAATAAAATTTTAATGAAAATTGTTATTGATTGATTAAAAATAAATCAACAGGAAATTATTATTTTGACCTAAGTTTCTATGGTAGTTATTAGAATTCAATGAAGCTTATCTCTAATCTTGAATGTATTCAATAGTTTGTGTGAGGTTATACCAATAATTGATATTAATATAGTTACTATGACGTTATTTTGGTCACTTAAAATATATGATAGAAACATTGAAATGTTTCAAATGATTCATTGATTTGATTGAATGTGTTGTAACGGGTGGTTTGCAGGTTAGATGAAGTAGCGTTTATATCGATCGTTTACAATGACACGGAAAACACGTAAGGACAACCTAGAGTCTCGATTGATCCCGCTTCCCTGTCTAGCCCAGCCAATTGAGCTCAGAACGTAAGTCACAGCCACTGAGTTATGAATCATTATATTTCAAACATCCTCTGTTTATATACCAATCAAGCATACCACATCGTATCATAAAATAGAAAACAACATTTTGTACAATATTTAACAAGTGAACAAATATCGACCAATAAGAAATGTCCATTTGAAGTCCAAGGACACCACTGGACTTAACATGATAATTATTGGTATATTCCTCTGCATCCCTAACAGAATGGTGTAAAATCGGTCAGTCAGTAAAAATATAGAACTAAGTAAATATATATTGCTTTAAGTTGTCATACCTTATTAGTACAACAACAAGATGAACATCAAATTCATAGAAGTAGTTACTTCAATGGCTTATTTTATTGAAACACATAAACATTGGTAAAAGAAGGTAGTAAATAGATATGCACCACAAAAATCATTCGATTGATGTGAGAGTTAGGGTACTGCTCGTGTGCCCGAACCGAAGTAGACGGTTTTCTTTTGGGGGCCACATTCGGAGCCTTTGACCTAATGGTCCAATCCGAAAGGTAGTGGAGAAACGTTAGGTGATGCAATCCCATGGTTGCCGATGATCAACAAGTGGTTCATGCGCCATTTGTTCCATCAGGATCCTGGAGTCCATGTGCACCGTTGGTTTGGAATGAGGTTTTTCCAACTTTCCTAGGTCGACTATCCATGTCCACCAACCTGGTTAAAGAGTCAGATATTCGCTTTTCGTTCTCTCAATTTTGTAAACAACACCTCAGAAGGCAGTGAGTAGGAATTCCGTGATAGTGGTTATATGCACATAGCCATGTGAGAGCATTTTGAGAGGAACAGCAGACTCTCCTCATTCTTGGCCGTACCAGTGTGTTTGGAGGCTAATATTAGTAATATATAAAACAAAGATTAAATATAAGGATATAATACAGAAAGAAAGAATTAGTTGATAAAACGAAAGATATAAAGCGATTTTAATCTCATAGTTTAAGCGAAGACAGAAAGGGCGTACATCGACGCCACTGTGATAAAAGATCATTTTAATCTTATTGATTATTTTGTAAACTTCCATTTATTTGCCATTGTTATTCTCTAATTCATATTGTATTCATTAGTGTATAATGACTTATAATATAACTTATTTGAGTATGTACCTTGTTACATATGTTTCTTCTATATCTCTATGTTCCCTCTGCATGAATTTAGATAGTTACCGATGATCTATTTTACATAGATAAAAGGATTCATACGTATTTTATTTAATGTTTTCAACACATAAATATTGGTACAAAGGGGCACCGAATACATATGCACCACAAAAGCCACTTGATTTGTGTGTGGCTTGTGATACTGCCCTGATGCCCATACCGAACCAAGTGGTCCTCTTGAGGAGCTACACTCGGAGCCATCAAGAGATACAGTCCCATGGTAGCCGGCGACCAATAATTTGTTCATACGCCATTTGTTCCTTCAGCATATCGGAGCTCATGTGCACCATTGGTTTGGAATAAAGGTTTTCCAACTCTCCTAAATGGACCCTTAGTACCCGATAAACTGGTTCAGGAGTCGGATAATCACTTTTCGTTCTCTTAATCTTGTAAGCGACACTAATGCCTCGAGAAAGTTGTGAGTAGGACTTCCCGTGCAGTGGCCTTATACAAGTGGCTATGTGAGAGGAGTTCGAGAGAGATAGAGAGAGCGGTCTCTCCTCACTCTTGGCCGAACTAGAGCATTTGGGGGCAGAAAACTTCCCCGCGACGGGAGTCGAACCTAGGCCGCCTGGGTGAAAATCAGGAATTAAGTAGTCTGGTACTATTGCTCTGGTATGTTCGATTTATGTTCATAGTTTATCTGTTACTCTTTACGCCTGAAACATATTCTTCCTTGAAAGTATAATATAAGGATGAGATTAAAACAACCGCATTGAATTTCTAGTTAATTTCTAGTTAATCACGAAACAACTTTATAAATGGATATTTTATGAAGAAGAAGAAAATAAAATAGTTGAACAAGGTGAAAACGGATTTTACATCACTTACGCATCTATAAAGATCTTCTACAAGTTGAGTGTTTTGTCCTTCATGGGATTCATCAGGTGTATGTCAACAAAATCATCTGAGGGTAACGTTATCATTATTAGATTTGAAGGTCTGGATTTTTAAAATGTCCTATAATACAACAAAGCATTTGTTCAATGCTACTTTATAATCAATCTATGACTAGCTCAAATTAATCCATATTGAAATTCATTTTGCAGATGTTTCTCTTAAGTAAACACTGAACAACTAATGAGTTAATATACTGACTAAATGTTGATATTCTATAGAGTCATTTGAGAAGACCTGTCATTCATTTGTATTGGTTGTTTGAATCTTCCCGCTGATGTTTAGGATTGAAATTGATCAGTCACATGTTGACATATATGTATTCTATGAGTATCTTCTTGATGTTATCACCAATTCACATGCATTTTAAAGGGAGATGGATGATGGCTTTGTATAAAACTCATTGTGATTCCAGGTTTTCCATGGTGGTTTAGCTTCAATTAACTCATGATCTCAACTATTGAAATTGATACAACCTCCAGAAAATCCCTTCTGACATTAATCAACATATGCTCACTAGTGACTGGCTTCAAGAGAGATATCCTGGAGCTCTAGTGAGAAGCAGTGGCAGGTGGAGTTCAACCAGGTCTGTTGTGAGGCAGTAACGCACTAACGACAATGATGGACGGTGGTGTGATTTCGTGGATTGGTTAAAATTAGACATTAACACCGTTAGATGCCGGCTCAGTGGTCTAGTAGTTAAACACTTGCGCGCGAGACCAATATGCCCTGGATTCGAATCTTACAAGGCGGGGTCGTGGAAGCGCACTGCCGAGGAGTCCAACAATCAGACGAAACAGCCAGCTAGTGTTTCTAGGTTTTCCACGGTGGTCTAGATTCAACTGATTCATGATCTCAACTATTGAAATTACTACGATTTCCACAAAACAACTGATATTAATATTTATTTGCATGGATCATTATTTTGATCCTCATTATATTTAGAATGTAGCATTCAATGGAATCCAAAATGTAAGTTTCGTCCAGTTTTTATCTGAAACCCAGAATTGATATGTACAATATGACTCTAAACAAGTTAGAATCGTTTCAAGCATTACCGCATTATCCATTGAGTTACTGAATTTAGATAGCTACTAAAATATTCAACATGTTAGATATCTATGACTGCACCTGGAGTGACGAACAACAGGTTTGATTCTCAAGGTGAACATTAATACTCAGATACAGACGTATTCAATCAACGAGTCCTAATAAAGTCGTCTTTTCTAGCTTCAATTTCTACATAATGAGAACTCCTAACTCCAAGACTTCTTCAAGGAAATGCACTCAGGATGTGAATATACTAATACAGACCGGTCAATTTAGGTCCTTTACATTAACAATGGGATAACATCAATTGTCACATGTGACTAGTTCAATTTGTTCATCATAGATACCTTATCAAGTGAAATAATCTATTCTATCTCATTTAACTAACCTTATTACAATATAATATTGATTACTACATAGTAAGTGATAAATGATCCTAGTGATTGACAGATTATATCCGCAAATAATCTTATGGTGAGACTATAATTTATGGACGAAGGGGTTTGGTGAATATTATAATAATTTCAATAGTTGAGATCATGAGTCAATTGAAGCTAGACCACCATGGAAAACCAACAGATAGTAACTCACTGATGACAATGGTGGACGATGAATTAGTTGAAGTTAGACATTAACATTGTTGGATATCATCTCAATGGTCTAGTGGTTAAATGTTCTCGCGCAAGACTGATAAATCCTGTGTTCAAATCTTGCGGTACAGGATCATGGATGCGCACTGCTAAGGATTCCCACAATAAGACGAAACGATCATCTAGTGCTTCGAGGTTTTCCATTGTGATCTAGTTTCAATGGATTCATGATCTCAATTATTGAAATTACTATAAAATATAAAATGACTATTATGATTTCAGTAGTATATAAATATATTTCATTATTTATCAACTACATTCTTTTTTAAGTATTGAATAATAAATAACCTACAATTACATCATTCAATTTACACACATATATCCATGTTTATACACAGGAACTAATCACATACACATATATATATAATATACAAGTTAGTATGGAATAATAAATCCTGATTGATTTCAGTAAACTCATAAAGAAACATATAAAGTGGAAGGTTTGTTTTTCTATGAATATAATCTGTACAAAATGATATATACGCTCCAGTTATGTGATGGTGGTGAAGATTTGTAGCTCAGATGGATGATTATGATGGAGTTTTGTTCTTTGAGCTGAATGGTTTGGTTATGGAGCTTTCATCGTTCTTCTGAACGACATAATGTTTATTATCATAAATTAATTAATTAGTCATAGAATCACCATCATCATCTGTATATTTAATATGTAATTGATTAGGACCAATATGAAAACGTGACCATGTTGAAATATCTATTGATTTTTGACGATTTTTATATTTACGTTTAGCATTTAACCAACAAAATATACCTAAACAAATCATTATTGCATAATATAAAAATGTTAATATAAGTGCCCATGTCTCTACAGATGATATTGCATAAGATGATGACAACGATGATGATGATGATGATGATGATGATGACGGTGATGATGATGATGATGATGATGATGATGATGATGATGATGAGGACTGAATAACATTGTCAATATTTAAATCGACTGTATTCAATTCAATTTGATTTTGATTAATGATAAAATCATCTAACATGACATAGATAGATAGATAGATAGATAGATACGTAATTGCACAAAGAAACCTTTCAAGTTATGTAATTATCTTACAAATGATCATCATATTTGTATTAGTTGTTAAGCATGTTTTGTTTGTTTGTTTGTTTGTTTATTGTTTATCTAATTAAGGAATAAACATTAAAAACGATTATAACATTTACAATTTTATAAATATATATATATATATGTTTATATTTTTAAAATTTGAGCCACATTTTATAAATTGACCAATCATAAATCATAGGCGTGTTATGAGTCTATTCTTAATTAACCAATAATAAAATTCTAATTGTTATAACCTTGATAAATCTAACCAATCAGAATACGAATTTAAATATAGGCGTGAATAGAATTGAATTAATTTATTTTATTGATTTAAGGTGAAATGATAAAAATTTTTTAATGATTTTAATGAATAAATATTGATAAAAATAAAAATGATTTTTATTTCCGTTTTTCAAAATCTGTAAAATAAACTGAAATAAGTTCTATGGAGAAGTTGTGACCAGTGAAGCTAATCCATGTCAGATAGAGATAGTTATCTACTTCAGTACAATGAAAAATGATTGCGTAATTTCATAGATTAGTTGAGGTTAGACATTCATATCGTTGGATGTCGGCTCAGTGGTCTAGACGTTACCCGGTCTGATGTGAGAGCAATAGGTCCTAGGTTCGAATCTTTCGAGTCAGGATCTTGAGTACGCAGTATTGAGGAGTTCCACAATAGGACGGAACGGCTATCGAGTGCTTCCAGGTTTTCCATGGTGATCTAGCTTTAAATGATTCATGATCTCAACTGTTGAAATTACTACAATATTCACAAAACCCCTTCTGATATTAATCAACATATGCTCACTAGTGACTAGCTTCAAGAGAGATATCCTGGAGTTCTAGTAAAAAGCAGTGACCATTGGAGTTCAACCGGGTCGGTTGTGAGATAGTAACTCTTTGATGTCAATGGTAGATGTGTCGCTCAATTTCGTGGATTAGTTGAAGTTAGACATTAACACCGTTGGATACCGGCTCAGTGGCCTAGTGTTTAAAAGCTAGTGTGCTAGATCGACGGGTCCTGGGTTGGAATCCCGTGAGTCGAGTTCATGGATGAGCACTGCTAAAGAGTCCTACAATAGCACGAAACGGCCGTTCAGTGCTCCCAGGTTCTCTATGGTGGTCTAGCTTCATTGAAAATTTAGAATCCTAATATGAAACTTCTCAGTAGTTTACATCTATGATTACACACGTGGAATTCGAACTCAGGACTCTCTCTCTCTCTCTCTGTGTCGAGTTCCAATGCTTAACCTCTAGATCAATAAACCGGTATTGAACTGTATTAATGCCTAACTTCAATCAACTCATAAATTCAATTATTACAATACGATTACTAACTCCGTAAATTATTATTCAGATAAATCCTGAATTATCTTGTGATAATGGAGAAGATTTGCAGCCTAATTGAATGATTTCGATAAAGTTTTGTACTTTTATCTTGATTGTTTAGTCACATGAAGCTTTTTATCGTTCCTTTGAATGACATCATCAGCACAAAAGTTCAAATAGAAGTTCAATTGTATCATCATCATAATAATAATAATAATAATAATGTTCAATAGAAAAAACGTATTTCCCAATGTTTGTTTAAATAAATCTTATATGATGTATTCAAGTCAATTATAATAATAAACAATGAATTCGATTTGTTTATTTAAAGTTAAAGAAATAAAGGTGTGGTTATTCAATTTATTTTTGTTTTAATAGTTGAATAATTGAATGAATACACTAAAGATTCAAATGTCAATTTCAAGGCGGTCTATTTCAATAGTTTTGGATTGTTTTTGAATTGAGTGATTATAAATAGTAACTAAATGTATTCAATTACTTACTTAGTTACTTACTTACGCCTGTCACTCCTGGTGGAGAAGCATAGGTCGCCCACTAGCACTCTTTATCCAAACCTGTTGTGGACAATCTTTTCTAGTTCTTTTCAGTTGTTATTCATCTTTCTCATATCTACTTCCAATTTCTAATGTAGTATGTTCTTTGACATTCTTCTTTCCCGTTTCCTTTCAAGATCCCAAGTTAGGGCTTGCTTCTATCGTCTTTTCATAATTTCCTGTTCAATTGGAAGGTGGTTTGTTCTCTCCCACAGTAGACTGCTGCTGATGGTAACCGGTCAACTGACAATGAGTACCTTGAGTAGACAACTATTTATAAGTACTTGTACCTTGTTGATGGTGGTTGTTGTTGTTCTCCAAGTTTCAGCTCTGTATAGTAAGACTATCTTGACATTCATATTGAAGATTGTGACTTTGATATTTGTTGAAAGTCGATTTAAGTTCTATATGTTCTCCGACTGTAGGAATGCCGTATTTGCTTTACTAATTCTTGATGATGGTTGTAGTAGTTCTTCACGTTTCAGTTCAGTACAATACTCACGCCCTATTAAGAAAAGGTCTACAACTTATCATAATGTTAATTACTGGAAAGCCTTAGAGGAAACTCTACAGTGTTTGGCATATTTTCTTACGTATTCATTCTTAAAACAAAGAAAGAAATAAGTTTATTGGAATTCAAGGAGCTTATATATGGTAAATGGCAAAATAGTTGATTGTAGTAGAGGGATAAATGATGGATGACTGATATCGAGTTTTAAAAATATAGATAAAATATATTGATCGATGTTAGACCACCACTGAAAACTTGAGATCACTGAATGACCGTTTCGTCCTAGTGTGGGTCTCCTCAATAGTGCGCATCCATGACCCCACACATCGGATTCGAACCCAGGAACTTCAGTTTCATACGCTAACGCTTAACATCTAGATCATTGAGCCAGCATCCAACGGTGTTAATGTCTAACTTACATTAATTTATGAATGGCTACGCCGTTGGATTCCGGCAGGCTCGGTGGTTAAGAGGTTGAGTGTTCGCTCGCGAAACCAATAGATCCCGGGCTCGAAGTCCGTGAGGCGTTGTCATAGATGCGCACTGCTGAGGAGTCCTACAATAGGATGAAATGACGGTCCAGTGCTTCCAGGTTTTCAATGGTTGTTTAACATCAATCGGCTTATGATTTAAATCAAAAAATTTCGTAAACATTTCTACATATTCTGTCAAATATTATACATTAGATAAGCATAGAAGACCTGAAAGTGTAGTAAACAAAGAACACAAGTGGGAACAATTGAATGTTGATCGTGCATTTTCATACTGATTGCTTTCCTTTCCCATTCTTTCCTGCTCAATCTTTTATTCCTTACTATCGTTATAAACTACTTATTTGAATATAAGTAGCGCACACCACAAAAGCATTAGGTAGTTATTTTACCCTTGGTTTGGACTCCTTATAATTGTACACATAAAACTTCAGGATCGAGGATCAATTGAACTCAGAACTTATGGTATCGCACGTGAACGCTTATCTTTTTGACTATATTGACTATATATGTACTATATGTGTTCATCTCTAACCGATTCGAGATTGTGCACATCTCTCATCCATTGCATAAAATTAGATAACTATATCACATCAGACATGGTTGAACTGCACTGGTCATAGATTCTCATTAGTATTTCAAGAGTTTTATTTTTAAGTTAGTTATTAGTGAACATATGATTATTGTTATGATATGGAGATTTGTGAAGGTGGTAGAATTTCCAAAGTTTAAATGATAGTCTAGCTAAGATCAGTCAGTTCTTGATGTAAACCACAAATACATCTTTCAATCTGTGTGATTGCATCTGATGATCAATTTATTTACAGTTTTGAAGTTACCTATGACGATAAAGAGGCCAAAGAGAGAGATACATATGTTAAATGGTAATGGATAGATAGGATAATATATTACTTGATTGTATTTTAAATGACTGTTGTAAGTTGTACATGATAAATGATACCTAGATAAAGAATATGGACTGTTACTATCTGATCAATGATGATAGCACCCTAAGTTTTTACATAGATTCTAACCAGACAGCTCACTTTAAATACAACTATAAAGCGGAAAGTAACTTCATCAAATGGTTTACATATTTAACTTTCATCAATCTGTAATGTCACTCAGCTATCTTCCAATGTACTTAATAGGTAACTGAACCGAAGTAAACATAGTTAAAATTCACTGCTCATGGCTTCTCATCAGAACGTAATGATTAGTGAGCATGTGATTAGTAACTGTAGAGAGTTTAGAAGTGATAAAACGTTTGTATACTAGGCTGAAGATCTTGGGTTCAACTCGTGGTGGGGTTGTATACTTATACTACTGAGAATTCTGCAATAAGGCAAAATAGCTATCTAGCGATCCTTAGGTTTTAATGCTTGTTTGACTAAGAGTAGTACATTATGATTGACTATGATGATCGAACATTTACTGAACGTAGCAGTCAGACTAATTAAATTTGTAATTTTATTGGTCAAGCTACTGATTGATAAGTAGTGTAGAAACTGTTGTTAACTGATGATGTAGATATGTGATGAAGTTGGGAACTAGCATAGAGGTTAATCACTATGTGGGTGTGGTCACTGTTAATGAATTGCATAATAGGGTGAGAAATCTATCCAGTTCCTTCAAGTTTTCACTCGTACTCTAAAAAATCGATCTGCAACGTATACAATTTACAATATATGGATTCATTCATACGGGTTTACATTTTCGCGTTGGTGACATTTAACACAAGAGGGAAGTGTACATTCTATGATCCCGTCTGCTCATAAACTGAACGACAATGTAATAGGGATAAACAACTTATTGTCCAGTCCGAAATAACATAGTGCTAAGGCAAAATATGAAACTTACTTACTTATGCCAGTTACTCCACATGGAGGAGCATAGACCGCCCACTAGCACACTCCATCCAACACTGTCCTGGGCAATACTTTCCAGCTCTTTCTAGTTGTTATTAATCTTTTTCATATTTGCTTCTATTTCCCCACATAATGTGTTCTTCGGCTTTCCTCTTTTCCGCCTTCATTTAGGATTC